AACAAAGTTACTGTAAGCGAGTGCGGAACGAGACTCAGTTCACATCCAATCCAACAAACTGTAAGAGTACAAAATAAAACAACTTATTCAGTAAAAACTAGTAAGTCTACGACAATATCTCAACGATATCCAGCCGTATCAACTAGCTAGAACTTTAAGAGGGCCATAAATATTGTCAAGGACTAGTCTCGCGCGAATCGCTACGTGCACACTTTCCCTCGACAGGCACATCACGTTGGCGATTACATCGGCGGCGTTGCGTTCTACCACTACCAACGAAGCTCTGCCACCACCATCCACTAACGAAGGATCGGGGGTGGAGTACGTGTAGAAGCGCCGATCTATGGGGTGGAAACTGTCTCTCGATTGGACCACCAGGATCGGGAAGGAGGACCACGGGAGGATCCAGATTCTGGGAGAAGAACAAGAGAGACTTCGCGTCTAAAAATTTCCCAAGTTACACTCATTCGTTTCTGTACCTCGAGCTTGTCACTTTGTAATCCTTAAAAGATTTTGAAACAGTCTTACAATATAAAAGTATAAGTAAAACGAAAATCTGCTCAGTTTATTTGAATATTCCCGCACCACAGCGAGTAGAGCGCTTCAGCGCTCCGCGGGCACCAACCCACTACATAGTAATCAATGAAATTTTACAGTATATTATACAGGGTGTCCCGTAACTCCTCGAACACCCGGAAATGGGGGGTTGCTGGGGTGACTCTGAACAACTTTTTCCTTTACCAAAATGTTGTTTGAAGCTTCATTTTTGAATTATTAACGAAAAACACTGGCCAATCAGAGCGCGCGTAGAGCCCGCGCTCAGGGACGAAGAACAGAGGCTCATCCGCGCGCGATCGAACAAATGCGTACGCCTGACTTCTCGGTTATCGATCGCTGTCAAAAAATTTGACTTTGCACCACTATTTTTATAAGGCTTAGAGAAATGATTTTTTGCCGTCATTCCGACGTTTGTATAAATTTTTGAAAAAACTGCAATTAGTCGGAATCGCGAAGAAAATAGCGAAGGTTGTTTTTACAACTTTTTTATCTGAGCTCGTAATGATAATTTAAAAAATACGTTTTGTAAATCTATGTCAATTATACACACGCTGAAAATTTCAACGAAATCGGTTGATGTTGCTATGAGCTACAAACGGTGAAAGATTGTGAAAATCGCACTATGAACTCATATGATCGGCCCTCGGCAAACGTCGCGCGGCCCGCGGGGAAAGTGAGGAAAAAAACATAAGACGTCGCGGCCTCTATGTAATATGTCTATGATATGTAATATAATGTAATATTATATTACAAATGTGCTACAAAATTTACACTGGTATAAAACTGTATGGCGAAACTATTCAAGTTTATGTTCTATTTTAAAGTTCTGGGGGAACTGCCGTGCTGTTCCTCTTATCAGAAGGCAGCACCCTCACCTCCCCCACTGCGTGGGAAAATCCTCTAGAAACAGTGTTCCTATTCTTTAAGGCAATACAACTTCAGACTGCTTGCCATCCATAAACTTTCGTGTTCTTTTACAATCAATCCTTCCCTTCAACATCCGATAGCTACATATCTTCGAGTCACTATGATTGGATATCTAGATTGCACATTTTTACGCGCACTTTTATCGGCTATACATACATGGATTTTGTCTTGAGTTTAACGAAACTCACAAATATGTGTACACGGTCTTTGAAATTTAGCAAAATGCACATTTTTAATTTTATTACATGCAATGAAAATTTAATAATATAAAAATTATTAATTCATGTTTGTAAAAAATATTTATTTGTTAATATTTTTTATCTTCCACTCGACATCATTATACTTTACTGATACAATAGAGTTGTTATATGCTGCAAACTGCTAGCCTACTTTCGACTATTACGAGTATTGTTTCGGACACTATCAAGTTGGAGAGGTTAATACTCATATGTGAATATAGATGCAAAAATTACAAATGCAACTAATATGCATTATAGCAACTTAATTTTTAATTATCTTTGTTAAGAAACTGTATCTTTCATATTTACATATATTTTTTTTACATTATTATCATCATCCTTATTTATATTTGCAGAAGAATTTGATTGTTCAAAATCATTATTTAATGCTTCACTTTGGTAAACAATTTCAGAATTATCATTTTCTTTCCTGCAGCTAGTTTCTGAATGTAATTTATCTTGGTTTATACAATTCTGACCTAAATCTTTTCTGAAACTTGATTTATATTTTACAATTTGATTATGTTCTACTGTATTATCTTTAATTTCATTATTAGACATATCCTCAAATTTGTTATCATGTTTGTCATTTACTTCTTGTTCACCTGAACTTTCATCATCAGAACTACTGTTTTTGCTTTTGTTATGCTGTTCTAAATTTGTTGTTTTCATCTGTTTGCGCTGTTTCCATTTCTGTTTCTTTTTTAACCTCTTTGCCCTTTTTTTTGCTGTTACTTCCTCAGCTATCCTTTTATTTTCTTCTATTTTTTGGTGGTACTCTGAATCTAGAAGTTCCTATTAAAAATGTTAAAAACGTTAAAAATATGGTGTTATTACTAAGATAAAAAAACTTACTTTTTCTAATTGTGTCAATAAAAAATGCACTACATATATAATTTGAATGATTTTAACACGTTCGCTGCCAACTATGAGATATCTCGTAGTAATTACTGAATGAAATTCATATACTGACAATTATTGTGAGTGCCAACTACAAGATATCTCCTAATATTTATGTTTTCTTCAAAACATTAATAAATGCCACTGCAAAACTATATATCTGGAGCTAATTAATATTAAATTTAAAGAAGTTTTATTGTTTTCTTTAAACAAACTTTGGCATTCACAGTAAAATTTGCTTAATTTTCTTGGCAGTGAACGTGTTAAAGAATGAATATACTATAAAGAAAATTACTTTTCCAAGATTGCTTTTTTCAAAGATATCAATGTTTTACATACAAATGCATTATATATATATATATAGCATTAATTTTCATTTACATGCATAATAATATAATCTCAAAATATGTTTACACTATTAAATTTAAAAAAGAATATCAAACCTAGTTTGTTCAAGGCCTAAAATTTCAATAATAATAAAAAATAAATTACAATTGAAAATGTAAATAAACATATTTACTATTGGGTTACAATTATCTACAAAGTCTAATCCTTATCACAATGTAATGGACAATCATATTTAGGATATCTTTCTTGCTTTGCTTAGGTGCTGTTGACTTTTACCATCAATGAAAATTTTATGTACTAATTTTCACTTCCTTAAAATACTAGATTGTGAAAAGTTTATTAATACATTAATAAATTACATTAGAATTATAACAAAGTTTAAAAATTCCAAAAAACTAAGTTTAACACATTGATATATAATTGCAATGTATAAGAAGTAAATGTAAAGTACATTGATGATCCTGAAAATAAAGAAAAGAAAGATAACTTTGTAAAAACAATTTTTATTCAAGCACATTCACTCTTTAAAACCATTTAAATTATGTATAAAATGTTTTCAATATTGTGACAATATGTGATGTATCATATGACCCAGTAGGACGTGGACCCAAATACTATAGTGCAGCCAAAAGATATATGTAGTTCATTACGTTGTAATATACACATGTATAAAATAAATACAGTTTATCTTATACTGGAACTACATAATTGCAATGGTTAAAAAAAAGAAATACACCAAGTTATTGTTAAAGAAACATCCTTGCAGTTTCATATTGTCTTATAACTTAAAAATAAATGATAAAAGTCAAAAATATTTTGTGGTTTCTTTATTATGTAACTATTG